TGTTGATTATTTTCTGCGAATGATGCCTTCATAAACTATTATTGTTCAAATATTTTATTAGAATTGTGTATCAAATTTGCATAATTATGAAAGGCCAGCTGATCCCTCCATGATGAGTGTGTCTAATAGGACATGTCATTGAAAGGATTAGTAGTTCGCCACACTGAGCAATTTTTAATACCTTAACCATTTCAGCAAGAATGTCATTTGAACTATCATTATCAATTCTTCGTTGTTCATCAAAAACAATAGTCATTGTGAAACTTAAATCCCTCATACAAGCTTCGTACTCTTCCATTAATTAAACTTTTTTTCTATACTTGTAGCACATAAAAATGTCTTTACGCCTCTTAGCTGTGTTACTTCTTCTGCAAATACTTTAATCTTCCTTAAAGAATCTTGAAATCTAATAAATGATCTTTGCTGTCGTAAATCTCGAAAATTTTCATCACATTTAGCCCGTGATATTAAGAATTTTATGGTTGGATCGACAGAAGCAATGCGATTAATTATAGATTCGGAAATTTTTTTGTTGAATTGGGCTTTCTCATTGATTGTAAATATTTCATTAATAAGAGTAGCGATAATGCTGAGCATTGGTATGGTTGGTGATAATGCATTTATAACATTGACTACTCCTCCCATGAATTCGTCTAATTCTGGTTTGACGTCCAATACAGATTCGAGGACATCTTCTGCCTTAGTTGTCATAATAATGTAATTACTCTGCAATTGATAATCAACTCACATATAATGTTTCCGAAATTCAAAAATAATTTCGACGATTTACTTAAAGCAAAAAAGATGGCATTTTAAAAGATTTTGAGTAGTTTTCGAAAATTAAGATTAGTCGTTTATGTGATAATCACGATAACTTAAAGGTAAAATCGTTAGAGGATAAGAGAATATAATGAAAATATACCTATGCGTTAAAGTGGAGCTTGTTGAAGTTTCCTTTTTTTTGCCTTTTTTTTTTATTTTTTTATTTATTTTTTTATTTTTTTTTATTTTTTATTTTTTTTTTGATGAAATCCGTTACATTATCTATTTAACTATTTTTTTTTTTATTGTAAAATGAAATAATATATGCGTATAATGAGATATTTAGAGTCTCATTTAAGTTCTGTGACTGATCCAATTAATTTATTTAGGGGCAGAAACTATAACTGATAAATGATGCGATAGTAAACAAAACAAGTTAGCGCATTCGGTACCCTCACAATGTGCGAATACATATAATGTAATGTTACGTGTAAATCTCGCGTTTTCCGTGAAATTTGTGCCCGTACGATAAATAATCTTAAATAAGGTTAAATTTCGCCAATCACCACGATATCAGTAAATCAGTAAATCAATACCCTTATTATTATCGCTTTGATATTTGCAGATCATATGACTTTTGACCTTATACTATAATACCGGTAACTTATTTTCTGACAAGACACATTTTCTGACAATGTGATATCGAAATTATGTCTTGTCGATAAAATGGATTATCAGTATTATGGATTCGGTGAAATGTTATTTCATTAACATATTGACGTTATGTTTTAATTTATAATTACGATAAATATTGCCGTCTTATCACTGCTATAGAGAAAATAAACTGAGAATATTTTTCCAAAGTTTTTGGTCTAACATAGTTGCAGTATGATGCACTTGATATTTCCTATATAAGTTATGGATCTATATTAATCAAACATGGGTTTTTTCAAATATCTGGATTGCCTATTATAAATGCAAAACGTGCATACTCTTCAAAGTTTTCCTCTTGATGACATGAACTCGGCGGTATACTAGACCCGGGTCTATTATAGGTTTTAAATTGGTGGAATGCAAGAGATCCGGGTCTTGTATACGACGATTTACGGTACTACTTATACAACAGCCCTATAAAAAGATTATATAAAATTTATTTAATATTTGTTCTGAATGTCTGAAAAAGCGCCATTCCGTCTAATTTTTGCTTTATTTCAAATAAAACAAAAAGTAGACAAAGATTAGACAGAATGGCATTTTTTCACACATGCAACACAAATATTAAATAAATTTCATACAAATCTTTTTTATAGGGCCGATAACATCAGTTATACTTTCCCTGCAAGTTTCTGCTTAGCCCTTACCTAAAATATGTATAACTATTACTTATGCATTAGTTATAGATGGTTAAATAAGATGAGTATATTTATTATGTAGGATAGCTAATGTAAAGTTTCTTTTTTTGCTATTTAACGAGAGCATGCCAGTATTTCTCTGTTAATATCGATCAATATAATCCTTTGTCCTAAAAAAATGATTTTAAGCATCGAATTCTGACCTAATGTTGTCTATTTGATGTTTGTGTATTCAAAAACCAAACCCAATATCATACTCCTTTCCCCATAAGACAGATAAAGTAGAAATGATGAAAAACTTTATATTAATTAAAATGATTTAGAGATATAAATTGCTAATTACCGGAGTTAAACCTGTACATTCTTAATACTAATTCGACTGTTCACACGCCAAACTCAAGATTAACAATAAAGCAAATTACAAGTACAAACAAAAAAGGAACATTATGATTTTGTGTTAAGCTTTTCTTATTGTGATAATTTTCTTTGCAGTATGGCGATTCATGAGACAAACCATAAAATGCTCATGAGCACTCTATACAGTTCTCAGTGGCTAACACCCAGGGAATGATGCTTGAAAGCGCAAAGAATTTATATTAGTCACGTGACAATTTAGCGTAAGCCTTTTGTGATCAGTTAGTCCCACCACAGATGTAAAATAACTAATTGAAAAATAATTTAATCGTAATAGATTAGTATAATTTTACCAAAATAAAAAGACGAGTAGAAAATCGTCAGCAAAATCTAAGCATATTTTTTCTTTTGCTTCCTAGCAAGATACCATGATTATCACATTACGTAGTGGAACGGTTTAAGTGACTAATCTTAATTTTCGAAAACTATATAAACTCAAAACCTTTAAAAATAATATCTTTTTTTTCTTTTATTTTAAAGTAAATCGTCGAAATTATTTTTAAATTTCAGAAACATTATATTTGACTTGATTGTCCATTTCAGAATAATTACATCATCATGACGACAAAGGCAGAAGATGTCCTGTTTTGGATGCCAAACCAGAATTAGGCGAATTCATGGAGGGAGTAGTCAATGTAACAAATGTATTATCACCAATCGTACAGTTTGTGCGTAAAGTTATTCAAATAAAGGCTTTTTGTAACGAATTTGTAAAAAAGGCTAAATCATATGACTAAATAAATGCCTTTAAAGTTAGCAGAGGTTTCATAGGCGTCAATATGAATCAATGAAGGTTTTAGGCTAAATTGTTTTGCTGGTTGCATACATACAAAAGAATTCTTATTCAATGCTCAGCATTATCGCTACTCTAATAAATGAAATATTTGTAATCCATGAGAAAGCCCAATTCAACAAAAAAATTTCCGAATCTATAATTAATCGCATTGCTTCTGTCGATGCAACCATAAAATTCTTAAAATCACGGGCTAAATGCGATGAAAAATTTCAGGATTTGCGACAACAAAAATCATTTCTTAGATTTCAAGATTCTTTAAGGAAGATTAAAGTATTTGCAGAAGAAGTAACACAGTTAAGAGGCGTAAAGACATTTTTATGTGCTACAAGTATAGAAAAAAGTTTAACGAATTAATGGAAGAGTATGAAGCTTGTATAAGGGATTTAAATTTCAATATGACTGTTGTTTTTGATGAACAACGAAGAATTGATAATGATAGTTTAAACGACATTATTACTGGAATGGTTAAGGTATTAAAAATTGTCCAGTGTGGCGAACTACTAATCCTTTCAAAGAAATGTCCTATTAGACACTCATATTCTGGAAGGATTAGTTGACCTTTCATAATTCTGCGAATTTGATACACAATTCTAATAAAATATTTGAACAATAATAGTTTATGAAGGCATCATTCGCAGAAAATAATCAACA